CGTCGTAGGTCTACACCCCATGGCCGCCAAGTTTCATAGACTGACAAAAATCAAATTGTTTGTGATACCGTAATCTTGAAGCCCTGAGCGGGCTTTGGCTGCCGGTAGGTTGCACACACAGACTGAGTACCAGTCACAACGTTATGATTGGGGGGAAGGTGGATGTGAATTTAGTGGCGCGAGATCGTCTCTCCTGTGTCCTGTGGGTATGTTTTCATCATTCACTGGCCGTAATATTGGTATACCACTCTTGCTTTTTCCGGGGGTGAGGAGGAGGTTCCTCATACCTACCGAGCAGAATTGAGTCTTGTTTTCCCTTCCACATGGGGATGGGGTTTGATGTGTCGTTTTGTAATGTCAATGTACATACATATATATATATACACTTGTGTACGTGTGTGTCAGAAGGACAGAGAAGATCTCTCCTTTAAAAAAAGACTCCTACAACCAAGAAGTATCCCATCTCCTTGGGGGTCCGCCGAGGGGGGCGGTAGGCACATATCTTGACAAGTGCCAGTCTTTCTTCATGACAGCACCTAGTGCATAGGTGGCTAGGCTGAAAGGGGAATGAGGGTGAAGATGCTTCCGCTGCTCCCCCTCCTTCCTTCTCTCAGATATCAGTGACGGGCGGATTCCTCTCCCCAACTTCTTGCTCGGCTCTCAGGGACACGGCGAGCAGACGCAGACATACAACGGTTCCTTGTGATCCTTGGACACCGGTGGCATTGAGTGGAGCCCATCCTCCCCTCGCTTCTTCTCTATTGGTGCGATACTCCTCATGAAACTTGGTGTGCTGTTTAAGAGAGCGTACTACTGGCTTGATCTACCATGAATCACTTGAGGGCAGGACAGTATAGGAGAGAGAGAGAGAGAGAGAGAGAGAGAGAAAGTGCAACAATCCAGCATGAGCCTTGGAGTCACCCCCCTCCTCCTAGACTCCTACTCACCCCCCAGGGACACTCCCCTCCCCTTTCCTAATATGAATATTCTAGGAGGTTTGTGCTTGTTGTTGCCGGCTGCCTTGGAGATATACCAGTAGCTTAGCTCTAGGCTGCTCGCATACGTTCTCCCCTTGACTACATATTGTCAAGTAGCCAGCCTCTTTTATTTATTTATAGATTCTCGTGAAATTCTGGTCTTCTGTTCCGATTCACCGCTTTGACACTTTTGGTCTCTTTCTTTTTCTTTCTTTTTCTTTTCTTTTTCTTTTCTTTTTCTTTTTTTTACAGTTCATGTGTTCCTTTATTGAGTCTCTCCTGTAGCGATTGCCTACATCCTCTCTCCTCTTACATTGCTCAGCCTGATATGGTCACACGACCTTGTATCTCTCTGTCCTTCACTCTCTATCCCAGAATCCGGGACCTTTCGTCAAAGTGACCTTCAGATGTACGTCTCGCCTTGGTTTGGTCTCTGGTCCTTTGCAGACCCCCTCCCCCCCTCCTTGTACGATACAGCAGCTCTGATCACGGGTAATGTCCCGGGACCGACATACCGCACTCAAAAGAGTCGCCGCTTCTCCTCCACCGTCCTCTTCTTTCCTTTCTTCCTCGCACTCTCTCTTCTTCCTCGCACTCTCTCTTCTTCCTCGCACTCGCACTAGCATAGATCTTCCCTTCCCATCCTTACTGTTTCCTGTAACGGGACACCGGCCCCCAGAGCGAACGACACACAGAATACAGACGCGCACATACACAACCCGGTCAGTGGCACCCGCTCCTTCCCAATATTCCTTTGCCCCTTGCTCCTTCCCCCTCGATTCATCAGAATTAGGTGGCACACGTGCACGAAAACGGAAGCTGCTCCTTCCCTTGGACTTTTTTTTTTTTTTTCGTCCTGAAAGAGAAGACAATGTTTTTTCATGGAAGCTTCGGGAATTAACTGAAGACTGGAGACGCTGAAGTGGATCGAACGATATTATCCATTCAGCGACTCGGAGAATACAAGGTAAGATCCAGCCACTGACGCTCGCTTGCTTTCGAGCATGCTGAGAATCCTCCCTCTCCTCGATTCTTTTCCATTTACAAGCGGCCAACCGCCATGTGCGCGTTTCGGCACTCCACCGTCCGCAGCTTGGACGGATGTTGGCAGGCTCGGTGACATTGTGCAGAGGCATAGGAAAGGATCTTGAAGGACAGGGAAAGAAGAAGAGCCGCTCTCCGGCCACGTTGCCATATCGGATTGTGCCACTGCTAACATGCTATTCTCTAGCTTGTCCAGACGGCGGCTGGCGCAAGTCGACGGGTCACGTCCTTATAGCCCTACGCCCACGGTACGTTCTATCTCAAAACGACACTGGCTTTGCCCCCCACATCCGCAACCCCTTTCAGAGCGGGGAAGACAGGCATAGCATTCTGGGGAACATGGAACACAGTCGTTCTCGAAGAAATGCGAGCCATTTCACATACGTCACCGTGGGGACCAGACAAGAAGGATCCGCGGACCCGGATCTCAGGCCCCGGCAAATCACCGAGCCAAGATCTATGCGTATCGGAGCTAAGAAATATAGACTGACCAAGAAGGATTAAGGTACATGCTCCTGCAAGGGGGAGGGGGGGTGCGCCGCTGCCAAGCAAGATCCAGCTATCCTATACCTACATTTTGTGGCCTCAAGTCAAACAGATGTAAGTGGCGTCCTCGTTGCAATGATAGGGCAAGGAGAGCGAAAATTTGATCATTTGATCAGAGGCAGAGGGCAAACAGGAAGAGAAGGAAGAGAAAGATGTTGTTATCAAAATGGTGTCATATGAAAACATCAACACCGATCAATTGCTGACAATTTTGCAGACACGGCAAGGGCGGTTTCTGTTGGTTGCCTCGTCCCCTGTCAGTGCGCGACAGTAGTGGCTGCAGCCGAGTTACAGTGGACGTAATATGAATTCCCAGTATTCCAAGGTGCGTTACCAACGCGCGGCCTCGGTCTTTTTTTTTTTCTTGTTCTTAGCATTTTCCCTTCCCTTTCTACGGGCACACACACTACGCACATACACTTCACACACGGACACACACACACGGACACACACATACAAGGACGGACGGTCAGCATCGCCGACCAAGTCTCAGCATCACGTGTGGAGAGGCTTAGCTGAAGCAACAAATCGCCAAGCTTACCAGAGCTACGCGACCATGTTGTATCGGCCACACTGCCTCGCCTTATCTTTCACCAGCCAGAGCAATCTGGTACGGTGAGTCTCACGGTTGAAAATCAGCCAGGCTCACCAATACCTTGTGTAGGTGCTTTCCCCTCCCCTCTTCTACTGGTCTCTCTTACTATTGTGGGCTTTCCTCCCTTTTGCCTGCCTGCCTTTTCTGGTCAGCCACTCTTGTGTCGGCGCACTCCGAGATTGTCGCGCACGCGTCGTCCTCTCTCGGCGGAAGGCCCGTGGAAACTCTTTGTGACCTGCGTCCGTTTGCTTTGGATGCCAGAGGAGACAGGCAATGTGCACATTCGAACCCCTATAGGCATCTGGTATTGTGTAACCACACTTTTCGCTCCACCCCTGTTCTATCAATCGGAGCTGTACACCCCGGGGTGCCGTATAATTAGGCAATGTACCTTGTGATGGAGTTCTGGTACTAACTTGTACCTGCCTGTTCTTCGTTTTCGTTTATCTCGAACGTTGTGCAGACAGGTTGGGTTGTTGTCGATCTTTGCTAACTGTCCCATCTCATTAGTTCACCATGTCCTCGTAGCCTTCGACAGAAAACAGCGCTACATAACCACCAACCACCCCCCCCCCCCCCCCCCCCCCCCCCCATTCCCCTCCTCCATTAGAGGAGACAGGTCCTTATTTATATCTCTGTCTCCTCCAGCCAGCTTCTCGGAACTCATTGCCCTACGCACATATGCACTATTACACATTTGCATCAAACTCACTCTCCGTCCGCACTAATCTGACCCAATTCATTTTGGCAGAGCTATTCTCCCAGCTCAGGTCCTAGTTCTGGGCCAGGGCTGGGCTACCTGGACACACTACCAACTCAATCCAGAGATCTAAGGTAAGTGATTTGGATAAGTTTCTACTTCTCACCTTTTCTTCTTCCTTCTTTTTTCTATCACCCCTGCCCTTAATCCCTTGTCCTACTATCTCCTTGTCGATGTCGCACACGGGGGCGAGACCACCTCAGGCTCCCGGCGGTTAAATACGCGGCGAGGAACAAAGAGCCATCACATAACAGTCCCTCTTTAAACAACCCCCCCCCCCCCCCCCCCCCCCCCCAACACCTGGCGCTGTATCCCAGAAGGGGAAAATGGAGGGGAAGGAGGCGGGACACACCACAGAATGGAAAGAGAAACATATCTTCATCACCTTGTCCGCGGCTTATTGGTGGCCTCGAGGCGTGTGACCTTGCTGCTGTACCATGCCAATCCGTATGGTCGGGCAGTCGCCGGGACCGACTCTTCTAAATGCTCGGTCACTACCCTTTCCGCTCACGGGAACGCCTCAAGCCCAAGCTGGGCCCAATATCCTCCTCCCTCCTCTTCACACCCCTCCTCGACGAGTGGTAGTCTCACCGTCACCGGCGCCCATCCCTTATATCACCTTATATATATACATGACTGCCTTGTATCTTGGGGTTACACCAGTCAAATCGTCATCGCCTGTGGCGGCAGCCGTACGGCGACTTTTCTGCCCGAAATCTCACATATGTATATGACCTGTAATTCTCCCTTCTCACTAACGCATTTACCAGGTACAGCCAGGAGCCGTCAGTGTCACACTTGCCGGACGAATCGACACAATCACAGTATAACACATCACTTTACCATACACCCGACATCAACACTGGTCCGCAGTATCATCAAGACTCGACGAACGCCTACTATCAGTCGTCTCCAGCCATCTGCGGCCCTGCTGCTGACGCAAGGCCTCGATTCGCATCTAGGTAAGTCTCGCAGATTTCTCAGCATGCCTGATCTCGAACTTCTGGCTGTGTTGAGATGAGCCATCAAGATGTGCGTTACTCACACTCAAGGCAGTGGCACCGCATTAACAACGGGCATGGACAATACCCCACGAACCACCACAACATTGCCGTTTCCCGGACCTCTCCCAGGTCCGCCCATTCACGCCCGAGACCAGTACGCACACGGCCCTTCGTCTTTCAGGAGGCCGCAGGATCATTCTTCTGTCATCCGATCCCGATCTGTTACCCACCAACATCGCCACAATCCACTATCATCTCGGTCAAACGTAGCACCAGGCTTCGCCAACTCTACCAACAGGATGGATCCACCGTTTAGCCAGTCGGCCGCGGACATCCCTCCTCTCGAGGAGATTGAGACGCTTGGAAGTCTTCAGTACAGTGACCAGACGAGGACAGATGTCGAGATAGGCATCTCGGGTGTCGTTGATAAGGGCTTCTTCCTGGCAGACAATGAGTGGACCTGCTACCGCCGCAACTACTTCTCCTGCGTCTGCTCTTACTCGCTGACACCCTACATCCCCAACGTCCCTGTCGAGGTCACGATGCCGGGGTCCCGTCCTGCTACGGTCTGCGGCTTTGCCATGGGCATCTCGGCCGTCGTGGCTGAGAACAACCAACACATGATTGGTTTGGTCCAGCACACGCCAAAGCGAGACAAGGGGCCTATAAAGAAACCGCCAAAGGTTCCGCTGATGGCCAAGCAGGACAGCAATGCCTGCCAGATGGGCTACTTTGGCAACAGTGCTATGCTAGGCCAGTCGGCCTTCCCCGACGGATGGGTGGCGGCTGAGTCAGGTGGCGCCCCACAGACGGAGTGCACATTTGAGCGCGTTCAGTTCAAGCAGGCGACGCAGAATAATGGCAAGCGCAGAGCCGCCCAGCAGTACTATCAGCTCATGATTGAGCTCTACGCCAATACGGGTTCGCCCAGCAACCCCAATCATGTCAGGATTGCGTATCGCAAGTCGGCCAAGATGATTGTTCGGGGTCGGTCGCCGAGCCACTACCAGAGCGACCGCCGCGGAAGCTCGAGCAAGCCTCCGCCGACGGGACCCGGACACACGCAGGCGTATGGGCTCATGGGTCCGGTCCGAGACTTCAACTCAAGCCACTTGATGCAGCCCTATGGCGGCTATGACAGCCACGGAAGCATATACGGGGCCCCACGCCACACGCAGCATACTCTCCCGGCTGAGACGATGATACCGCCCGAGGATGAGAAGGCGATCGAGAGCACCAAGGGTTACCAGTACTACCCAGGCCCCCTGTACCAGAACCCAGAAAGCCGGCTCGAGGCGTGGAGTCACCCGAGTGGTGCTGGCCCGGACACGATACACGGGCACCACAGCCTATCAGGCCTCGATATGAGCGACAAAGTCAAGGATGAGTACGAGGCTGCGGCTGCCGACAATAGCACTAACGACCAGGCCAACAACACGGCGGCGACACCTGCGACGGCCAACACGGCGATCAACCCGACTCCGCCGGCCAATTCCGGTCCCATGCCCCAGGTAGTTCAATTCTCGTCTCTCGATGTCACGATGGACCACTCGCGTTCGTGCCGGCCTTTTGTTGGGAAGCCTACGTCCAGCGGCTACTATCCACACCACATGACAACGCCGAGTCTGGGGGTGACGCTGCAATAACACGAAAAAGGTGTTTTTCTTTTTCTTTTTTTCTTTTTTTGCGTAAACGAGTATCTATTATATGAAGTTTTCTACTTTGCAGGACACATTCTTATCTTGTCGTTATTTTTAGGTTTATTTCTTCCGTTGAACCCACACAAACCGGTGCTGAAGTAATTGTCGTTTCCATCTTTACTGTTCCCTTTTTTTTTATCTGTCTGGACTCATACTTGCTATTCGACTCTGAAGGGATGAAAATTTCTGGAGAGATTGAACGCCTTGAAGGCTCATCCTTTCAAGATTTTTTCCCCCTTCTCTCTTTGGAAAAGCGGTGCTATCAAGACGATTAGCGTCAAGCAAAGGCCTCTGTTGAAGCATAAATCAGAGCAGGCGGAGCAGGGAGGGATTTTATATTTTCTATGTGAATGTTCTGGGAATATGTGGAGGAAAAGATATGAATTGGAATTTGCTCGAGATGAAATTAAGAGAGAGACAATGGAGATGGCAGTTCTGCTCCTCTGCGCTGCGTTTATGATTTTACAAGGTGATGTCTGTCTGGGTGATGGGGCAGGGTACGAGTAATACTACTCGTTAGTACGCACCGTAGCAATACCTATATCATGGTACTATCAATACTGCCTTATGGGGGGCGATAGTCAGAAGCGGTCACGAGTAGTGCTCCATGCTCACAGACCCAAGACGGTAATCTCTACTATTACACAGTACTATGGATCCCGTGACGTACGGGTCCGGCGGAACGATGCGCTAGACGCACATATCCTCATGATAGATAGACGGTAGCAGGAAGCCTCACTTGCTGCTACTCGACCAATCAGCTTATCCTTCCGCTTTCGGGTCTATACGCAGCATCACATCGTTAAGTGTGAGCTGTAGAGTGACGCTGTCAGGAGGGAGCCTAGCGACGCACGGTATAGAGCAAGAATCTGTATAGCAGTAGCATTATAGATGATTGATATTGTAGACTTTACCGGCCATTGGAGATTGGCCAATCAAGGGGATCTTGCCACTTGACGAGATTTTTTTTATGAGCAGTCATGTATACATATTGTCTTGGAAGAAGAGTCCACCTCTCCGGATGAACAGCCTTAAAGGGGTTAGGATAGGTTCGGGAGGTTGATGGGGATGAGGGATGAGGGAGGGAACTTTACAGTTTCTACACTTGGAATTATTATTTTTTTTTCCTATATGATACTTTTGGAGAGATTAGAGAGAGACAAGAGTTTGGAGAAGTTTTTGAGAATCAACCACGCCGCATACGGCTGTACTGTATTATGTGCCGTACTATATGGTTTAGGCAAGTAGGTTACGGGTCTGGCGGAACGATCCGCCGGACACACGCATCCTCACAATAGACGGATATACAAAGTGAGGTCTAGGTTTTAGTATGGGTCCTAGGTGCTCATCTCCATGCTAAAATTTGGGCCCAACAGTAATTTGATACCATACATTCAGCAAGCCGATTAAATATACACCCACCCCCCCCCCCCCCCCCCCCCCCCCACACACACCCAATGAACATTCAATAAAGGTGCACACCGAAAGAGAGAGAAAAAAGAAAGGGAAAAGGAAAAGTAAAATAAGCATCTCTGAGACGGCNTCATCTCCATGCTAAAATTTGGGCCCAACAGTAATTTGATACCATACATTCAGCAAGCCGATTAAATATACACCCACCCCCCCCCCCCCCCCCCCACCCAATGAACATTCAATAAAGGTGCACACCGAAAGAGAGAGAAAAAAGAAAGGGAAAAGGAAAAGTAAAATAAGCATCTCTGAGACGGCCATGAACGGGATATGAAATATAAGATGTGACTTGCAATTCGATAGTTATGGGCTGCTCCATGATATTTGTTATTTGTGAGGTACGCGAGACTCTTGGTGTGATTTCGTACTCTTGCTACTGTGTTGTTGTTGTTGTTTTTTCTCGTGTGTGTGTGTGTAAGGGATAGATGTTTGAAACGGTATCATCTCTGGCATGTCGTGGGGTAGATTCATCTCGTGTTGATCTCATCCAGTGAATGAAAGCACTTGCTATGAGGTATTCGGGGTATGTATAGAGTATACTAACTATCTATCTATTACCCGTATATATATATGTACATGTATATGTACATGACCTGAATACAATGTGCTAGGTGTATAGTATATATATATATATATATATATTCACGACCTGAATATGCCAAGTAGCTATAGATATATACTCGTACGCGTGTCACGTGTCTATATGGATGTCCTGGTGTATCTCTGCTATAGAGAGGAGTAGGAAAACTGGATTATGCATGTGAAGAGAAGAAGATAGAGAGGGAGAGGGAGCTATAGTTGGACCCTATATGGAATATATGAAGGCTATGTCCTGCTACTACTATACGTAGATACGAAGGATCAGAGACCCAGACAGAGTAGTAACTCTGTCAAAACAATGCACCCGGAGCATCACCGAAATGCAGCAAGGTAAATGCCTGGATAACATGACAGTACTAGACGGTGACGGTAAGCTGGCTGACCGTCTGTTCTCCTTTCTTTTTCTCTTCTCTTCTCTTTTTTTCTCTGCTTCTTGACTTTCCAACCCAACACATCCCGATCCATCATTGGTGGACTGATACCGATAATCCCCTCTCCCCTCTCGTTGCTGGCAACCACCCGGCCCTCCCTCCATTAGAAAAGAAAAAACTCCTCGTGCCATTATCCCGGGGTCAGATTCAGATTGCATGGATGATACGCTATAATGGGGGNCACCCGGCCCTCCCTCCATTAGAAAAGAAAAAACTCCTCGTGCCATTATCCCGGGGTCAGATTCAGATTGCATGGATGATACGCTATAATGGGGGGGGGGGGCAGATCATGAGAGGAGGGGGGGGTATCGATAGAATCAATACGACTAACCCGTATCGGCATAGTACGAATCAATAGAGCATGGCTCGGAAGGCGCCAGCTCACCCAGCATATTCCTCCTTCCTCCACTCTCCCAACTTCTCCGCACAATACAAAGACGACCGACCAGTCTTGTCCTCGTCGATAGATGATACCACTGCACACACACGAGGTAGATTGATAGTGTGTGGTATGGCGGATATGATCCAATCCAGCAGTCTGGTTTCTCTTTTCTTTTTTTTCTCCTTCTTTTCTTTCTAGGCGCATAGCTCACAAAAGAAAAGAAGAAGAAAGCGTAGGATGATGGATGCTATGATGCAACATGGAGGACGCGCATAAAGAACGGTTTACCCCACCCCCTCCTCTGGACCCTTTCTTTTTGTTTTTGCTTTTTTTTTCAAAAGAAAAAAAAAAGAAAGAACAGAAACATGCTTCTCTATCTTGTTTTTACTCTTAACCCGAATGAGAGAAAGGGGAGGCGTGTCGATACTCTCTCTCGTACAGAGCAGGCATACGGGTACAGATGTTGTGACGATACATGTACAGTCAATGTTGTTTAGACGTGGAGAAAGAAGAAAAACATTCGACATGTATCTCACACATTTATCTCCAAGAATCGATTCTTGGCTTTTCCTTTTTTTCTTATATAGTAAAACTACCTGATAGTAATATTACGAGTAGAGAGAGATGGAGAGAGAGAGCCATGACTCACACGGCATCGACTGGTTCTAGATAGAATCCCCTCTCATCTCATCGTGGGGGGTTAGCAATCAGCGCAACGACGAGGCGAGTTGCGTCTCGTAAGGAGAGCGCCATCGGGGATCCCATGGGAAAGTCCGCCCATGCAATGCTCCCCATGGATCACGTCCGAGAGAGACGTTGATACCGACTATCATCTAGCAACACTGTCTCTCTCTGGAAGATCCGTCTCGGCCCTACTATGCGCATCCATATATGCAGGATTCCGTTCGTCATCGGTAAGAGAAGAAAAGAGAGAGAGAGGAGGGGGTTTTTCTTTTTTTTCCCTCTCCCTCCCTCCCTCTCTCTCTCTCTCTCCCAGAGATCCCAGAGATCCCAAGGCAAAGTGAGAAAAGGGGGTGGAAAGAGGGGGGGGGGGGTGGAAAAACGACCCCCCAGACAAAGAAGACGAGGAGAAAAAAAAAAGAAAGAAAACAGAGGGGGTCCATTCAGTTTGGACAAGGGATGGGATATACATATTGGTGTCAGTGTCAGCTGTGTAGCCAAATCCACCTGAATGCAAAAGGGAATAGGGTAGGGGGGGGGGGCAGCATTATAAGAAAAAAAAGAAAAAAACAAAAAAGGGAAATCTCCAAAGTCCCAACAGCATTGGCGGGTGACTGCATTGCTCCCTGCTCCCTCCCCCCCCCTCAACGACTGCTTACATGCAACCGATCAAGCAGGTTGATGGCCCCAGACGCCCACCCAGAGAGCTGTACCCGTCCGTAGCATGGTATCCCGGCGTTCCAACTCTGTATCGCCGCCCCCGCCCGCCCCGAATACAGATACGTCGTCGTCTCTTTTCAAGTTCCTTTCTTCATATCCGTACCCTCGTGTACCCGTCATGTAACTATCACTCTCCTAAAACATGCACACATCATACTACACACCGTCTTCTTTCTTTTTTTTTCTCCTGCCTCCCTATATCCCCACACCCCCCCGTTGCCGTTGTCACCATCTTGGGAAGCCATGAAAGGCCGCCCTAAACCCCGACCGAACCCCTCTCCCCTGGCAGCTACAGCTAGCATACAAACGAGACGAGATGGGGCGAAAGGCGTAGGAGGTAGACGTATGTCATGAAATCTAGGATATGGATTGCTTTCGCCTCACCTGCATCGTCAGAGATCAGATGACAGAAGAAGAAAAGAAGAAGAAGAAGAAATGAGGAAGAAGAAAAGAGGAAGAAAAAAAAAAGGAGAGAATGTGGCATGGGAAGATGCAGATTATCCCGTGGTTACCCGTTCATTTTTGTCCAGTCTCCCGTCTGGAATGGAGGGCCTCACGGTCCGGCCAATGAAACCTTGCCCTGTCACGTCGAGGAACCGGTGAACGATTCTGTCACGACAACACACAGAGATGAGGTGACTTGTACTGGTATCCCTAGGTCTTGCTGGATCCAAGAGTGGGCTTGTGTCCTTCTGTCCTCTGGTCTTGATGATGTCCTGTTCGGGTATGCCGAATCTGTCCCAGTCATCATCATCACAAGAGATCTCTCCAGCCACGATTCGACTCTGAGGCAGAGAGATGTGGACATGTTGGTAGGGAAGACAGCTGGGTCGTTCACCTGTTCTGGGGCTGTGATTATAGGGTAAGGAAGAGCATGAAGAAGAAGAGGAAGAGGACGAGTTGGTGGTTTTTTTTTTAGGTATGATATTATTCTGATAGTATCCTAATAGTATTCTAGGGGGAGAGAGAGAGGGAGAGAGAGAGACGAGTAGTAGTTTTCATGATTTGGAGAGGTCATCGTCATCATCGAGCGATATACACGGCGTCATGCCATCCTCTCATCATGCTGCCCTCCAGATGGCGTCCGACATCTTGCTCACCATGGCCATCTCCTCGGCGTCGTGCACGCGGACGACGTCTGCGCCTCCCTGGACCGCGGCCGCCACCGTGGCGGCCGTGCCCCAGACCCTGTCGGCCGGGCTGCCGACGCCGGTGACGTCGCCGATGAACCTCTTGCGGCTGGAGCCGACCAGCCACGGCAGGTTCTCCAGGCCGGGCCAGTGCCTGAGCTGGTGCAGGCTACGCAGCAGCTCCAGGTTCTGGGCCGTGTCCTTGGCGAAGCCGATGCCCGGGTCGAGCACGATGCGCCACCGTCGGATGCCGGCCTCCTCGGCGGCGGCGACCCGGCCCGCCAGCTCGGCCGCCACCGTGGGGATCAGCCCGTCCGGGTACGAGGCCAGGCCGGACATGGTGCGCGGGTTGCCGCGCATGTGCATCAGGCAGACCGTCACGCCCAGCCTAGCCACGGTCGGGAGCATCAGCGGGTCGAGCAGCCCGGCCGAGACGTCGTTGACCATGTCGGCCCCGGCGGCGACGGCCGCCTCGGCCACCGACGCGCGGTACGTGTCGACGCTGACGACGGCGCCGCGCGTCGACGGGTCGGCCCGGATGGCCTCGATGGCCGGCACCACGCGCCCCGCCTCCTCCTCGGCCGACACCTCGTCCGCGCCCGGCGCGGTGGAGAGCCCGCCGACGTCGACGACGGACACGCCCCGGCGCATCAGGGAGGCGACCGTGCCGACTACGCTGGACGGCCTGTGGCGCCCGCCGTCTGAGAAGGAGTCGGGCGTGAGGTTCAGGATGGCCATGACGTGCGTCGGCCGCGTCGGCGCCCTGGGCGACAGGGGCGGTAGCGACGCCGACACAGGCGTGATGGACGACAGCGGCTCCGCCCCGAGCCTGAGGTTGTTGAGGTGGTCCTGCACCAGCGTCCACGGCTTGTTAGGGTCGAGAGCCTTGGAAGGTGCGAGCCTGGAATATGCCGCGTGTCAGAAGAAGTATTCCCCCACCCCGACCCCAGGTATAGGGTATGATATTATATATATATATGTGTGTGTGCGTGTGTGCGTGTGTGCGTGTGGGTACTCACTCTGCCAGTGGTCTCAAGACAAACTCGCGCTCGGGAATCCCAATGTGAGGTACCGTGAGCCGCTCATGCTGCACTGTCTCATCCCCGTAGAGCAAGATGTCGAGATCGATATTGCGCGGGCCCTTGTCGATGACCTTGCGACGTCCCATATCATTCTCAATGGCCTGGAGCTGGTCGAGAAGAGCGAGGGGTTCAAGATCGGTCTCAACCTATAGATATGTGTGCAATACGTATATATATATATATATATATATATATGCAGGTAATATATTAGTAACATGCATCAATTCAGCACCGACTCAGCTCCATCCGATCTCCATCCAGACTTGCACGGCAGCACAAACCGACCTCGCAGGCCCCATTGATGAAGCGGTCCTGATCCTCGACATACATGGGTTCCGTCTCCCACAAGCTGCTGGTCCTCTTGACGCGGATGCCACGCTCGTCCATTAGGCTGCACGCCCTCTCTATCTCGGCCACCCGGTCACCCAGGTTGCTTCCGAGGGCGATGTAGGCCGTGCGCGTCTTCTTCACCGGGGGGCCGCCACCGCCGCACGGGCAGGAGCCGCCGCATGCCGAGTAGGAACGACGTATCGGGGGGGAGCGTGCTGCCTCCTGCCAGTGGTGCCGAGGAGTGGTGGTGGTGATGGTGGTGGCGGTGCCCTTGCATGGCGCGAGACGAGATCGTGAGGGGGTCAGGGACGATGACAAGGAGCGTGACAGCAGGTTACGTCCCAGATTATGCCGTAATGACCTGGATGAAGAGGATACTAAGCAGCCCATTCTCGCCTTTCCTTTTTGTTTCCGATTGGCGGATACGGATATGTCTCCCGTAGAGAGAGGTAGAGAGGGGGGGGGAAGGGGTGAACAGACACAATTATGTACGGTACAGAGAAAGGGCAGGTGAGATTTTCCGACGAGTCCCGTGCCGCCCCATCCACGTGTGTGTATCACTTGTCATATGTAAAAGAATCTATCGCACATTGAATCTACTCAGATGCACTTCTTTCTTCTTCTTCTTCTTCTTCTTCTTATTTCCTTGATTCTCCTTTCTCCCTTGTTCTTACGAGTTCATCAGACGATAAAACACCTAGAGAAAAATTATGATGAGGAGATGCAGGCGTCCAAAGGATGCGAAAATGGAAGAAGCAGTTTGAATGGGTTTACATTGTCGATGCCTTAATGACGAGGCTTGAAGAGTAGAAGAGCGATGACATAATCTCGCCTCATGACATATTATCACCAGTACCGTGTACGAGCCTCGGCTGTCTTTTCCTTCCCCGGACTCGACTGAACACGCCACGCTTCGGTACTAGCGTTCAGCCAACCTCTAATCTGCATATTCCCCTCTATATTCTCGGTAGCTTGTAAGCCAAGATGCCCTGGAAGGGGATAAGCTAGCCTGGCCTAGCCTGTACACTCGCATGTATGTGATACTTTGTAGATTTAGATCCCCCGCCCTCAATTGGGCTCTAGTCCATTGGCGGCTTTCCCCCCTCCTCAGGAGTCAGCGGTCATCAGCGCACTCATCACTGGCTCGGCCGTTTTCCCTCGATTGCCTAGGATATGAATAATGAGCCTCGGCATGTGCTTTGAACCCAACCCCCCCCCCCCCCCCCCCCTTTCCCCGTACGAGAACAGAAAAAAAAAGGCCATTAATATACCGAACCATTGCTACCCCAAATCGTCGTCATCAGCTCGGCCCCCAGATCTTTTCATTACTTCTTCCCACATCTCCATCTTCTCCCTCTTCTCTCTTCCTTCTCCTCTCATCTTCTCTCCCACACCACACACACAATACATACTCCTCATTCTCTGTCGGTGTCCTTTTCTTCTTCTTCCTTCTTTCTCCTCTCCCTCATCTTGTAAAAAATCCAGTGTCGAAAATACCACCATCATGGCTTCTCCTCGTAAGTTCAATCTTGATTCCTCCCCACCCTTTTTTTTTTGTCTCGCATTGAGACAACCATGTCACATGGAAAGTGCCGGACTGACCTTGGCCGCGCGCCGCAATTCCAGAGCAGATCCGCACTCCCATCACCGACATGTTCGGCATCAAGCACCCCGTCATCCTCGCAGGCATGAATGTGGCGGCCGGTCCCCGTCTGGCCGCTGCCGTCTCTAACGCCGGTGGCCTCGGCGTCATCGGCGGTGTCGGATACACGCCCGAGATGCTCAGAGAGCAGGTCAGCGAGCTCAAGGAGCATCTCGCTGATCCCAACCTTCCCTTTGGCGTTGATCTTCTCATCCCTCAAGTTGGAGGTAGCGCCCGCAAGACCAAGTATGTTTCTCTTCTCCTTCTCTTCCCCATGCATCATATTCTTCATTCCTCTCTTTCTCTCTTTCTTTCCTTCTCTTCTTCTTTTTTTTTTTGGTTTAATATATACTGACGTGAGACGACGACGAAAAAAAGCTACGATTACACAAAGGGTAAGCTGAACGAGCTGGTCGACGCCATCATCGAGTCCGGAGCCAAGCTGTTCGTGTCGGCCGTGGGCGTGCCACCCAAGGACGTGGTCGACAAGCTCCACCGCCACGGCATCTTCTACATGAACATGGTGGGTCACGTCAAGCACGTGCGCAAGTGTGTCGACCTGGGCGTGGACATCATCTGCGCGCAGGGCGGCGAGGGCGGCGGCCACACGGGCGACATACCCACGACGGTCCTGATACCCGCCTGCGTCGCCGAGTGCGCCAAGGCCAAGTCCCCCCTCACCGGCGGGCCCGTCCAGGTCATCGCCGCCGGAGGCATCCACAACGGCCAGCTCCTGGCCGCCTCGCTCATGATGGGCGCCGGGGCCGTCTGGGTCGGCACCCGGTTCATCCTGACGGACGAGGCCGGCGCCCCTCAGGCCCACAAGGACGCCGTCCGCACCGCCGGCCACGACGACAACGTCCGCACGATCATCTTCACCGGCAGGCCCATGCGCGTCCGCAACAACGAGTACATCAACGACTGGGAGACGAACCGCGTGCAGGAGATGAAGGACCTAGCCGCCAAAGGTGTCATCCCCTACGAGGCCGACCTCGACAAGCTCATGGCCGGCGAAGAGGATGGCAACGGGGACGATCAGAGCAAGAGCGGAGCCGGTGGCAAGAAGCCCAACCTCATCACCACCGCCGCCGCCGACGATGACGACGACGAGGACCCCTTTGAGAAGTACCGTCCCTTCCTCATGGGTAAGGCCGCCGCCGTCGTCAACGAGCAGAAGCCCGCCAAGGTCGTCGTCGATGAGTTCGTCAATGATGCCGTTGCTGCTATAAAGAAGGGTAACAAGATGGTTGCCAAGCTGTAGTGCTTCTTCCCCCCCCCCCCGAACTTCCATTTTTCACCTTCTTCTTTCCTTCTCTCTCCCCCTGTCTAGTATATGTAACTCTTGGCATGCTTTTTTCTTCACGTTGGGATCTTTTTTTTTTCTATTTTCCTTTGTTCATATTTGTGACTAGCAGGGTTTGAAGATAAAGAGAGAGAGTGTGGCTAAGAAGCACGTGAATATCACATACAACAACATACATGATTCAAGCCATTCTATTTAATCGTGCTGACTGTCGACTATCGTGGTTACTCTGTACGTGAAAACAATGGCGGCATTTGGATATGAATACTGGTCTTGCACTGGTAGCATGATCCGTACTGAGCATGATCCGTCCTGAGTATTTTGCAATGGCAGCATTGCCATCATGAATGCCGTCGATAACTTTTTTTTTCTATATGATCCATCATGATGAAACTAGTAGAAAAATACGTCTATTCCATGCTACCAATCTCTCCTAGCGATACTAATAATAATAAGAAAAGGCATGATTCGTGTGTGGCGGTATTCTACTCTCCCATCAAGACCTTGACAGAGAAGAGTTCATTTCCATACTTTTACCCATCCTTTTCTTCTCCGTCATTACTTCCAATTCAATACCAAAGAGGTGGGGGGAAGAAAAGGAAAGGAAAGAAGGGGAAGATAAGTTCTCCATTAGCAAAGGAAGAAAGATAGAAAAGAAAGAGAAAAAGAAGTAGAGGAAAAAAAGAGGAAGAGAGAGGGGGGGGGGGGGGGGGGGGGGGGGGGGGTTTGGGTGGAGTTGGGGAGACGGAGGAAGGAGAGGTCAAAGGGGGAACACAGCGTGTTCATCTAACTACCGAGGTAAGCACGGATAGCCCCCTGAAGCCTAGTAGCCCCCTCGCCGACAATGTTGCCGAGGTTCTCGAGGTCGTCGCCGGCCGTGATGCCAAACTGGCGGACGAAATCCTTGGCCGCCGACTCGAGATCGCCGTAGTCATCCTCGTCGGCGTCCTGCTCGGGGCGGCCGAAGTAGGCGTTGGATGAGATGGCCGTGGCGCCGTCAAAGCCCTGCAGCCGGGACCTGGCCTCGTTCTGGGCGTTGGAGTCGAAGTTGCCGCGGCCGAAGTACTCGTCTGACGAGATGCCCTTTTGCGCGCCAAACTTGGAGCGGGCAAAGTTGTCGGAGTCGTCTAGTCATGTCAGCGTCCGCATCGAGGAGAGGCTCGTCTTGGAAGGAGAAAGAAAAGAAACAGAGAAGAAGAAGAAGCAAGGATGGAGATGCATACCATCAGTTGACTTGACAGGTCCCACGGATCCAAAACCACCGGCATTCTTCTTGGCGGCAGGAGCGGCAGCAGCACCCTTGGGGCCACCGACCTGGCCGAAACCCAGACGACCGAAGCCCATGCCCAGACGTTCCACCTCGCTGTTGGACTTTTGGCGCGTGTGCGAGCTGGCGGCGGCGCTCGACGGGGTGGGCGTGCTGATGGGCGTGGCCGTGGACAGCGGGGTAGCTGCAGCGCCCTTGGTCTCCCTCGTCGTCTGCTCGTCCTCGGCATCCGGGTCGTATCCCAGCTTGGCGATGCGCTCGGCCTCCTCCTTGGCCTTCCTCTCAGCCTCGTCGAAGTCGATGACGTCGGCCGTCACCTTCTTGGCCCCCAGCTTGGTCGTCGTCTTCTTGGCCCCCAGGACGTTGGCCTTGCGCGGGCCGGCCGACGATCCGGTCTTGCGCAGGGCGGCCGACGAGGTGATGCGGCCGGTCACGGGCTTGGACTCGGTCGGGGGCTTGGTCCCCAAGGGAGAGGCTAGCGGCGAGGCTGAGCGCGACCCGTCCTTGCTGACGTTTGCGTTGAGGAAGGGCGAGGGCGTGCGGCCGGTGACCGGGGGGGTGGCGGTCCGTGAGATGGGCGGCGTCGGGCGCTTGATCGAAGGCTTGTCCCACGAAGAGAAGAAGTCGTCGTCGGCCTCGCTGGCGTCGGCCGAGGTGGCGTCGACTTCGGCGTCGACAATGACTTCGTCGGGGAACCTGCGGAGAAACAGAAGAGTCAACATCAGAAATGCAAACGAGGCATTGTGCCTTTCGGAGTCTCCCCTTACTCCTTGGCGTCCTTGGCGGCGCGGCGCTTCAGTTCATCCTTGTACTTGGAGGCGACGTTGGACTGGTACTTTGTCTTGGGGTCCTTGCTGTTGAGGGCGGCGGTGCCTCCATTCTGCTGGAAGTACTTGGTGGCCGACTCATTACCGCCAACCTTCATGACGCGCAGCTGATCCCATTGCCATTCTGCGACGAGCCTATCAGTATACTAATCCCGTTCTTTCGAGGACCGCGACGGAGGGGAGGGAAGAGGTGCGCAAGCAACGTACGGTCGAGGTTCGTGGATCGCACAAAGGAGATGTGAACACCGAGATTGCGGTGGTTGGAGGAGCAGTCGAGGCAGAGGTAGATGCCGAAGGGGACAGACGTCCACGTCGGGTTCTTCTGGCCGCAGTCGAAGCAAACCTAACTCATCATTTTCCACCCCAACGTCAGCAATTTCTCGTCTCGGATGCCATTCGGTCTTTCCCAGGAATCCATCGCAGTCGTGACTGACCTTGTTTGCCGCCTTTGACTTGAGCTTATCAAAGATTTTGAGCGACTGCTGCTTTGTCGCGAGAGCCGCCATGATGTGTGTATGGTGGGGATGTCTTGTGTAGGCGAGCGGAATTAACAGGGGGGAGGGGGGGGAATTGCCGATGGCGGTGTTGTCGGTTGAACAAAGGGAAGAGAGAGTGGCGGTGCGACAGTCGTAAATCAGAGGAACGAGGGCGCTTGTTTGGTGAGCGGCGGGGTCGCAGTCGTTGTTTAAGGATGATGGCTGGGAACAGGTGGAAGAGGAAATGTTCCTTGTCTGCGGTGTGAGGAAGGGCTTCAGGAGAATTGGACGGATCTTCCTTTGGAGTGCGCAGGAGTTGATAAAGTGGCATGTATATAGCGCTAGTCCCGATTCGGATGATACCTTACTCGTAGAGTACTTGGCCTGGGTGGGACTTTATTTTCTGCCAAAGGCGGTGTGGCGGCGTAGCAGCTAGTCATCATGCCTTGAATGAGGCTCCAAAGTCCCGTTCGACATGTCCCCCACACACGCGACAACCACAACTGCTCACGGCAACCGTTCGTGCCGACTCATCAACTTCTCAGAGATCTGGTGGAAGCTGATAGACTGCCGCCGTGGTGATGAGACCGACAGTAACCTCCGTTCTGGCCCTGCGGCCTCTCGTCAGCGCCTCTTCCCCGGCAGCTTCGACGTCTTGCTCGACATGGCCATCGTCCTCGACCGCATGCGCCGTAGCTCGTCTGATGTCCCGATCGTACGCCACACAGAACAGCCTAGGAACGACCCCTACGCCCCAGCCCCGCCGTCGGACAATCACCCCCTTCAACGATGACGGCCGCGTCGCTTGGAAGGATCTCTCGTCCGGTGAGAAGGCGTCTAGGGCTACCCAGCAGACCTTCAACTTTGGCATGATAGTTGTCGGTCTCGTGCTGACGGTCAGTCTAGTTTCTTTCTCTCTTCCATTCTTTCTTCTTCTTTGTCCTTCCCTTCCCTCCCCCTTTCCCCCTTACACTTGCCCTATATGGCATCTGGGGCATTTTATCGTATGAACGGATGCTGACATATCTCGTGAACAGGGTGGTGTCACCTATTTCCTCTGGACCGACGTCTTCTCTCCCGACAGCAAGATTGCGCATTTCAACCGAGCTGTGGACAAGATCAGGGCGGACCCGCGGCTGAGAGAGCTCCTGGGTAGCTCGAGAAAGATTACTGCGCATGGAGATGAAACGTTTAACAAGTGGCGTCGAGCCCGACCTGTTGCGTACGTGTTTTCTCTCTCTCTCTCTCTCTCTCTCTCTCTTTCACTCTCTTTCACTCTCTTTCACTCTCTTTCACTCTCTTTCACTCTCTTTCACTCTCTTTCACTCTCTTTCACTCTCTTTCACTCTACCTCTCACTCCGTCTTCCCACCCCTTTGACCCCTGTCTGTCTTTCTTCTCTGAGGAGGAATCAAAGATTCAGGAGTCATCATTCTTTCTGCTAACCCAATGTCTAGGTCAACCGAGAGGGTGGACCCCGATGGTACGCAGCATCTGATGATGCACTTCTTCGTAAGCCTATGCCAAGTCGGAAGTCAGATACTCTGGGAGTGAAATGGCGACGGCTGACAAAAAAAAACGATGATAGGTCGAAGGTCCTCTCGACAATGGTGTTGCGCGCCTTCACATGGTCAAGCGCCCTAACTGGGGCGAGTACGAATATAAGTACCTCTTTGTCGACGTCAAGGGTCATGAGAGGGTCTATCTAGAAAAGGACGACGACGCAGCTCGAGGAGGAGGGAGGAAGCAACTGAGCTTCTTCGGAATCAAGTGGTAGGGGAAGAGCTGTGAGAGGGAGATTCCGTCCTCCCTACAGCATGCTTGCTGCCTGCTGCTGGGAAGGGGGGGGGGCTCCCGCTGGAGTTTCTCTGTAGGATGGTAGCACTGTAAGATACTAGGTAGAGATGGCGTACAAGTATAACTGATATGGACAAAGTGAAGGGGACTTTTTTTTTTGTCTCAGAGGGCATGCGACAGGAACGGCGTTTGGCATGGTTTTCAGGACACGGGGTGTGTGATATCTAGGTCTCATGTAACATATCTGTGCAAATGATTCAACATCAGCCTTAACCTAACGGGGGTTCATGTGTGGTTGGTTCATCTGTCGGACCAGCATGGCACACTCTCTTCACTTTCGCGTCCCCGTCAGTTCCCGTGCCATGTATCCCGTGACAAGCAGCGTGGCTGCGTGTCATCATGGCCAAGTGAGCAGCATCAGCAGCATCAGCAGCATCAGCAGCATCAGCAGCGGCGGCGGCGGCGGCGGCGATCCGGGTCAGGATGCGACAAAGCCTACACCCCCTCAAGGTCCAAGGACACGGAAGGAAGATGACGGCTACGCTATACTGTACGGCTAGAGAAGAGAAACCTGGGGCAAAGGGCATGATCATTTCGCCTCTCTGCTTCTCAGCCTCTTGCTACCGTACAAGATGCTTTGTTCATCATGTTCACCTATCACGCGATCCTCCCACCCGCCTGAAAAAGCACACACACACACACACACACACGACAGGATCACGAGCGCCCACCAGAAAACTCCGTTCCCTTCACTCGGTTTACTGTGCTGGGAAAGGCCGAGGTGATGTAGAATGAATCGGGTGGTATCTAAGACACACACACACACACACACACACCAAGTCCGATATACTACAATTAACAACCTTCCGTGTCAGAACAAGTTCAGTCCAGACCATCTGTACCATGTCTCTTTCTTTCCCCTCCCCCATGCGCCACCGTTGGTGCTCATGACTAGAGTAAGAACAATACGAAGAATGGAAATGAAAATGATATATATATGTATATATTTGAAAAAAAAAAAAAAAAAAAAAAAAAAAAAAAAAAAAAAAAAAAAAAAAGAGAGAGAGAAGCAAAGAGACAAACACCACGCCCCTCCAATGTCTCACTCACCCTCCGGATTGTCAAAATGTATATGTGTGGGGGGATGGNTGTCAGAACAAGTTCAGTCCAGACCATCTGTACCATGTCTCTTTCTTTCCCCTCCCCCATGCGCCACCGTTGGTGCTCATGACTAGAGTAAGAACGGGTGCATCACCCTCTTTGTACATCTCGCTTATTATTTCTCTTTTGCAAAAAAAAAAAAAAAAAAAAAAAAAAAAAAAAAGAATGAAAGAAAAAGAGAGAGAGAAGCAAAGAGACAAACACCACGCCCCTCCAATGTCTCACTCACCCTCCGGATTGTCAAAATGTATATGTGTGGGGGGATGGGGAAACAACTAACACCCCCCCCTCCCTCCTCCTCCTCCACCTTCGGTCCTTATCGCATCTAGGATGCCGTACAATGTGCTTTGTTTTGCTACTACTACTACTACTACTAATTATTTTCATGACACCCTCCAACAGGGTGTGTGTGTACATAGTAAAGACACTTGCTTTTTTTGTTGAGGCTATTGACCATGGGACACGTGAAAGGATGGCGAAGCTCATCGTGTTTTCTTCTCAGTCGGACCGGCAAAGAAACGGGTGACCCCTAACCAATATATATATATACTTGGCTTCTACATAACACTCCTCCTTCTTCCTTTCTCACATCCTTCATACTCTTGTATGTCGCACACAGCGGTGAAGAGCTTGCCACCGAGAGAGCTGGTTGCTGCATTATTAAGTAATACATAGGTGGGGGCCAAAGGGGAGGGGGGAGGCACGCAGGACGATGAATTCTCCTTTGCCAAGTGCTACATTACCATGCCGTGAGAGGTGAGAGGCAGTACAGGTACAACCAAGGAGACAGAGAACAAGACAAGAGACGGTGACGTCTTTACGAGGTCGTCTCAGTCAAGACCGTCGTGTTTTCCAACGCCAGAGTTTTGTTTGCAAACAAGTTTCCAAGCTCAAAGTAGTCATCTGTTCGAATAATGGACAAACACCGGGAACGAGGAAGGGGGGGTGTGAGGGGGTGGGAGAGGAGTTGACATGCGGTAGTATCGAGGAGGTTTTATTTTTATTTTATCTTTCTCAAGAGACGTTCGTGCTTCTCGGTGGCTTATGATCTGGTCGAGTGGGAATTCAAGTATCGTAAGAGCGAGACAAATCGTACGAGCGAGTGCTCCGGATATTCAGGATTTTTTTTTCTTATGCCTTGTTCCTCTCTTCCCTATTCTATGCCGTTCCTTCCACAGAATCTCATGTCTCCCTCGCATGTTTCTGACGTGATGGCGGGAAACGTTGAAGCCCGTCATCCTTGTTTTCTCGTAACCTGATCGACCGATTAACCTTTTCTTTATGCCGTTGACAGCTGTCCTCTTCCCCAGAGTTGGGGATTACCTGCTCTTCGCCGTGGGTGTACAGAACCCATGTCCGGGGTCTCCGCGCGCAGGGGAGGGGAAGACATTCAGAATGACTGGACAGTACATGGCACAACCACTCCTTCATCTTTCAGGCCCTGCTCTCCTCCATCTCACTCTCTGTACATTCAAAATCAAAAGGCACGGAGAGAACGTGATCGTAACGAGGTCCTATGGGGTCGAGGTTGAGGAGAGAAGCATGAAACGGGATGTGCAATCTCGCATCTTCACTAGTCTCCGTCCTCCTATCTTCTCTCTACAATATTCTCATGTACATACATCAATGGGCATTGCATCTTACGGATCAAGGGGTATGGAGGAATACGTGGTGTCGATGAATGACTTGAAATCATCCGTCCTCGTTAAAAACAAATTATAGAGATAAAAGTATAGATTAGAAAATTAGAGGCTTAAGTGTTTAAGATTTAAAATTAAAACAAAATAAAATAGAAAGAAAGAGAGAACAAAAAACCCTTGCAGAAACCCCGGAGAGGCCGGCGGGGTGACTTGACCATATCCATAAAAAAGATGTATGGTCAAATGGATCGGATCCATGTCTTCTTATACAATACCAACAGGAGAGAGATGATTTTGCCGATGCAGTAAAAGCAGAATGATATTTTTTGTCTTTTGTCCGTATTCTGTAGAATAATAAAAAAAGAGAATATAAAAAAAGAGAATAAAATTATTCCTGCATATCCATGGATGATTCCCACCCCACCCCTCGGCGCCAACTCAAACGCCTGTTCTTCTCCGGGTTGTTAAAGAAGGAGAAACCCAAATCTATCATGTCTATATTTATCTCGAAACAGTTTGTAAGTGCAAAGCAGAGCAATGGAAAAAAATATAAAAGTAAAAAAATATAAAAGATAGAAAGAGCAGAGATATATCAAAAATGTAACAGACAGAATAAGAGGAGAAAACACGCATTCATAAAGTCATCTCTTTGCTTTCCCTGATTTTCCGATTTCCTTCTCCAAGTGCTTAGCCTCATGTAGAAGAAGAAGAGAAAAAAGGAAAGCAGACGTAACAGCAGAGTTTTTGTATGGAAATTTAATCAGAGAAGAAAAAAAAAGACAATTGTAATCAGATGCCAAGTTACAGCCTCTCAGCCAGATCCCCCCCCGCGAGACTGGTACTACTCGAGCTGCGACCGGAGTGGCTGATGGCAGTGTCAGAGAGCATGTCATGCACCGTCACCTTGGGTACGGGAAGCTTCCTCTGACTGCCGTCAGGACGGCTGAGGATGTCGGTCAGCGAGGAGCCGGTGGTGCGGGGGGGCTGATGCAGGTTGCCGGCGCCACCGTTGTTGGCCGAGGCCGGGCCGTGATGGGGCTGGTTAGCCATATCGAAGCTGGGCTCCATGGGGGCCAGGGCGGGCGTCGTGTGGTTCTGGAGCGAGAGACTGCGCAGGCTGGGGAGCTCGTAGCCGGAGAAGGGACGAAGGCGGGGCGAGTGGGCCGGCGTGGCGATGGGGGTGTGGTCCGGCGTCGGGGAGAGGGAGTCGTGTGAGAAGGTGGGGGACGAGGGAGCCGTCGAGTTGGGCGAGTTGGGCCTCGACCTCTTGATATTGCGCAGGGCGCCGTTGTAGTGCTCGTCGGGCACGCCGCCGTGCGAGTCGTCGGCGCCGGAATGCGACCTCGACATGGAGTAAGCCGACAGCGTGGGCAGGTGGCCGCGGCCCGAGTTGTGGTGGTGGTAGTACGGGTGGTGACGGCCGCCGCCGGGGGTGCTGGCGCCGCTGCTACCGCCCATGCTGCTGATGCTGCTGCTGCTGCTGCTCGAGTGGTGCGGGTGGTACGCGCCGCCCATGTTGTTCTCGCGCTCGACCTGGTGGGCCGCCTTGGCCAGCATCGAGATGTCGCCGCCCGCCGCCGTCGACCGGTGCAGGTGCGACACCGGGGGCTGGTGCGGGGGCAGGGCAAAGGTCGAGTACGAGTGAGGCGGCGACACGTTGGGAGACGTCAGCGCCGAGGGGGGGGCCGAGCGGATAGCCTTGGGGGCCGGGGGGGGTGCCATCATGCCCTCGTGACCCATGGCGCTCACGCCCACGCTTCCCATGGTGTGGTGGCCCATCTGCTGGTGAGGTTGCTGTCCCTTGTTCCCCCTCCTCGAGTTTGGATTGTTGTGTATCCTCGAGTGGCGGGTCAGCTCGTCCGAGCGCGAGAACTTCTTGCTACATCCGGGGAACTGGCAGGCGTGGGGCTTCTCGCCCGTGTGGGTGCGGATGTGCCTGGTCTGGTGCTCGAGGCGGTGGAAGGCCTTGTCGCAGAGGGGACACTTGTAGGGGCGAGGGAGCTCATTCGAGTTCTCCGACGACTGTGTTCCGGGCAGAGGCCCGTTGGGCTTGATGACGGTCACGGCTGCGCTGGCCATGTTGCTGTTGTTGACTTCCCTGTCGTCCACGCTGGCGGGATTTAAGAGGCTGGAAAAGTCCACAGCCGACTGAGATCGTTGCATGTGATCGACCCGCTGCTTGTGAGGCAGGCCGAGAGGAGAGGATGAGTTGTTCGAGTTCCCAGTTGGAAGGAGAAGGCTGATGTGATGTTCCGACAGCGATCCCGTTGATGCAAGTATAGTATTGTGTGTGTGTATGTGTGTGTATGTGTGTGTGTGTGTGTGTGTGTGTGTGTGTGTGTATGCGTGTGTGTGTATTAATCGACAGTGGTTGCTGTTCTTGTTGCTGTTGTTGTCCTTGTGTGGGATATGATATCGCGGGGAATGGTTCAATATTCGTTGAAAGGGAAAAGGAAACACAGGGGAGAGAAAAAGACGGGGGGGGAGAGGGGAGGAGATCCGGTGGTTTAAAAGAACGTGGGAGGCTTCGGTCGGGGTCGGTAATGGGGGACCGTGGAGCCAGAGACTGGGGCAAAGCGCAGAAGAGGAAGAAAATTTGGTGAGAAAGAGCTCAGAGAGGGCCGACTCAAGGTACAGGGGGGTGTGACTGTATTGATTTCCCTTTTTTTTTTTTCTTTTTTTTTTCCTCTGGTGTGCGGATGTGTGCGGGTGTACGGGTTGCAAGGACAGTGGAGGTGGTGGGGTGATAGTGGAGGTGGAGTGGAGGTCACGAAGCCGAGAGGTACGTACCCGAGACCATCCATCCATCCCCAGAGGGTCTGTCCAGAGGCTCTCTCTCACACAAAACATACACCCCCCCCCCTCTCGGCAGGGGAAGAAGGCCGCAGCGGCGGTGGACCGGCCAGATTCGTCAGAATGCCATGACGCTATCAGGGCCCGCCGCCTTCCTGCCACGCCCACACACACACGCAGACAGGCAAGGCGGCAGCAGGCAGCCATATTCCCCCTGGGGATAGAGAGAGAGAGAGAGAGTCCGGCCTCGGAAGCCGTACGAGTAGTACTCCGGAGTCAGACTATCACTATGCAAATAGATTGGGCACAGCACAAAACCGCGCACAATACACACCAGTAACATGTAATACCAAGAGCGAATGAATGTATTCGCACACAGCAAAAAAAAAAAAAAAAAAAAAAAAAAAAGAGGTCTTTCAGCTGCGGCAACGCAACTGCTACTGCAACTTGCAACCTCCACGAGTAACAACTATATGTACAGGCAAAGGAGCACCACCATCGTAGACATTTGTCGTAGACGTTATACTGTACGGGTGGTCATGGACCGTGGGTATGTATCGTCGTCGTGGTCGCCTATCCACCATTGGCCCTGGCCTGGTCACTCAGGCCTGCTCTTGCTCCCCTCGCCCCTCTTTCCTGAGGGTCTCTCCTGAAGGTCTCACTCCTGATTGCTGAAAGGAGACGAGAAGAATGAGAGGCCCCGCCCGACCTTCCCTTGGTTGTCAGTCCTTTTCTGCGTCAGGTACCATGTCAGACGGTTGTTGGTCCAAGATGATGATACGTGGGAAAGTGCATGATTGACGCCTTGTGAAAAGCCTATGATGAGTAATAATACCAATACATCATCCCCCAGCAGTTCCCCCCCCCCCCAGAGCGGCACACAAACGCGGGTACCGAAGTAACTCCAGAGGGGGAAAAAGTCTCCAGCTGGAGAAGCTGGGGTCAACACTGGCGCGTCCCGATGGCTGAGACCACACCACAACCGGCCCGGTCCCTAGACAAGAGAGAGAGAGAGAGAAGGCCAGGGCCTCCCCTCTGATAGATTGCTTTGTGACCTAAAAAGTCTTGGGAGAGATGATAGACCCCCCTCACTGTGGGTGTCTCAGTCTGTCCCCCCCCCCTCTTTGAGGATTGCTCCGCATAGCTTTGAAGCATCTCCATCTGTCTATTCTCTGAAAATAATAATACCAATCTACCCCTAGCCTCCTCTTTCTTTTTAGACCTCGCCTAGTTCCCTCACGGTAATGCTTGACGGTCTGATTGAAGCTTGTTTCTCGGCCGTACGGCTAAACTTGGCACCTGTCGCGTTATGCCACGCAAGATTCACGTGCAATTACGTACTAATCTCATTGTCCTTTCATCCGTCCTTGTCCCATCCGAGTACGCAAATAGAGGAATGGTGCCAAGGGAAAGAGTCGGGGCCGGCAACAATGTTGGGCTTTGTGCGAAGGAGACGCTCAGTACAGCATCACCATTCACATGGGATTCGTCATCCTTTTCGAGGGGTTGGTGGTCCATGTCACAGATGCGCCACGATCAAGAGGGTCTTTCCTCTTCTTGTTCTTCGTTGCCGAATAAGAAGAATCTGAACGGGGAAAGAAATACGGAGTAGTAGATGCTGTGCCACAATTCGTGTCGTGTCGTGCTTTTGTGCGGCGTACGTAGGTCTCCATTCAGATGTGAGTCAGCACTGGGAGATAGGTCGTGATTTAATTCTCGGCCTTCGCGCCACGGGTACGTCGTTGATGAGTAATCGGTTCACGATTGCTCGCACAGTTCGGAGGAAACAAGAAGAAAGACAAAGAGAAGTGACCAAGAGATGGAAAACAGGTGCGTTGGTAGAAAGCACTGCTTAACACGCCCTGAGCACTGAACGGTGCGCTACCGAGCATAATGATGCCATGTACTCCGTATCCCCTTGTAGGCTTGTACCCTTCTTTCATCATGCGGGGACCATCTCCAGAGCGGAAGAGTGTGTCGGACGGGCAGGTGAATGATTGGTTGGAAAGGCGACCTGATACCACCTGAGCCCCAGATTCGTCACAGCTACTTCCCTCTCTCCTCTTCATTTTTTTTTTCGTACGTAGTAATCATACATATTACTCTCACGGTATGCCAACGGGTACTCTACTCGTAGTCTATCTCGCTCTCTCTCTCGGTCTTCTCCAGACACTAGGCCACGTAGCTCGGAAAGGCGAATGCCATGATCAGTACAGGTAGCACAGCTCTGCGACTGTATTCGCTCATCCCGTCGTCCTCTTTTATCCTACTTATTCCCTTGAACCAGAGAGTTGACCAGTCACCACGTATGTCGAGCATCGGGGATTCCGTACTGTGCTCCTTAGAAAAGCGATGATACTCCCTCCCCTCCCTCTCTCCCTCTCTCTCTCTCTCTCTCCTCTCGCAGGAGAGAGGAAAAGAGGAAAAGAGCACGGGGGGAGCGTGTGTGGGCCGGGGTGGAGGAGGGGGGACAGACATGCGATGCAAGAGCTGTGGAGGAAGGAGGGCCATATATCAATGCGAGTACAACAAGGTCTCAGCTCTTTAAGCGTGAGAATCTACTGGGGGGGGAGGGGGGGTGTGGGCGTGGAGAGGACAGACAGACACACACCATCTGGGGGGGAGAACGGACTTCTTTGCTTGGCCGATAATCAAATATTTTCAATACAGGAAGACAGAGAGAGAGATACAAGTTGAGTGTCAACTTGTCAAGTGTTTCCGTGTGGACAAGGGAGGGGGGTATTATATCCCAAGGCCCGTTGTTCAAAGATAACAAGTCCCTTTTGCTCTAGTGTGGGCAGGATTTACAGAGTCATCCGAGTAGCTGGAGCTGGACCCTGCAGTTGCGGTATTTAGGCGCTGCGACCGTACCTCTTTGACACGCTCTCTGCCTGTCCTTAGGCGGCTTGCCCTGTACGGAGTAGACAAGACGGTGTTGGGTAATGCCTACCGTAGGAATATTTCGTAGTAATAGTACTTGTACAGGCAAGGAAATATTCCCACCGTCGAGGTCCAGTCTTTATCAAGATTTCGTCAGATGAGATCCGCAAAGGTGCTTTTTTTTTTTCTTTTTTTCTTTTTCCCAAATGCCAATCTTGTCGGCGATCTTGTCCAATATGGCGTAACATTACCGCACACATACACACGCACGCACACCCCTCCCTTCTACCCCAGCGTCTCGGTAAGAGACATGACGAACCGAGTGATTGTCAAATAAGAAGAAACTCGCCGAGCGGGGACCCCGGCTGGGGAAAATTGTTTGTGTGTCATCTTACGACATTTTGTATCTTTCTCTACACACAACACTCACACACATACACTCTCTCACATACACACGCAGTTTCTCCGTCCCCAAAGAGTCATGTTTTCTTCTTCTTGTGTCGCCATTCCATGCCGGCTGATGCTCATAACGCCCTTGTGGGGGGCGGGGGGGGTTGATACGCCTGACTACTCGTCTGACTACTTGTCATCGGAACACGGTCATCCGTAATGGGGCCCTTGTCAGTATAGGGCGAGGGGGGATCACGATGGCATACCACACTGTGGAAAACGATTTCTCCTTTTCTGCTACTAGCATCACCGTACCCGCCTATCGGCTATGTTGTCTGGCAGCTTCCTATCATCCGTGGCTTGCGAGGGCGCAACGCCTTGTACGGACAGTACGGTACCGATAAGGCCACACACACCCCTTGTCAAGGGAGGGGGGGGGGCCGCAAAGGCCACGCAAAGGCCAATCCATATATGTAATTACGTGCTACACCCCAGTTTCTGATAGCAGAGCGGGCGCGTCACATCCCCCATCTCACCACAATAATTCGAAAAATACTCGCTCATTTGTTCAGATATTAAATTCTTTTTTTTCCTTTCCTCTCATTTAGTCGCGTTTAAGATTGAGATTTTTTTGGTTTATTTATTTCATCGTATTTTCTTTCGTCGCGGTCTACTACTAGTCATTACTACGGAGTAAATCTACCCCGTACTTACGAGGCGCGGCTCCGACTTACCCATGGCGGAAGGTCTCGGGATCGTCGTCATACATTTCGTCCTCCCCAGATTCCCCCCCCCCTCCTCTCTCCCCTTCCTTCCTTCTGAGCGTGGGGGTTTTCCATCCATTCCTTCCACACACACACTCAACACCCCTTCCAGGTGCTTCCAGGTCCTCCGGGGTCGGGGAAGAAGAAAAAAGAAGTTTTGCCACCCGGTACTCGTAAATGCGAGTTATCAACTCGAATATTAATAGACGTCATGTAAAACCGCCTGGAAATGGATGCGTCATCCGACAATTGTGGAAAAAGGGGTGATGTCGTGATTGGACGAGGGTTGGAGAGTTATTATTATCGTTATACCTATACGAGTAGGCATTGAGGCAT